GGGGGAGGGGGGCGGGCGCGGGCGCCCAGGGGTCCTGCATATCGATCACGAGCCCCTTGTTTGTTTCATAATCGCCATAAAGATAACTGGCGAAATATTCAAATTTAGTAAAACGTATCCGGAATTTCCAATTACCTTTCTCTCCGTGCTGCTGTCGTGTGATACGGTACGTTCGATTTCTTTTTCGTCGGTGAACTAAGTATACGCTCCTGCCCTCGACCAAAGTTCAGCTCGGCATGCACTTGAAACTTTGCTAGATGGCACTCTTCCTAATCAGGTGTTCAACATCAACACTTCAGTTTAAAAACAACGACCACAAGTAGTGGGTGTATCGCTGCTGCGTAGTTGAAAAACTTTGTGGTGTGTAATGCAGGGTTTAGACTGGCCACCATTGCCATTTATTGGATACGTTCTAGTTAAAAATCAGCCAATGAGAAGCCTCGAAAATCCACTAGAACGTACTTGATAAATGACAATCGTGGCCAGTATAAAACCCTGCAATAGTGTGTCGTCACTTATAGGAAGGCTCAAGAGCGAGTCCGCTGGCCCATAATAGCTCGGCGCCACGCAGGAGCACGAACTCTTCGCGAAGCAATTGACCCAAGGCCAAGGAGCGCAGCGATAGCAGGCGTGTGTCGCACTACTGATAAAGTTCAAGTGCAACTGATTCGCACTTAGTGCGCAATTGCAAGTAATTGCAAGTATAATCAACGTAGTTTTGTTACACTTGCAAGTGTTCAACTCGATAGCTTTTATGTATTACTAGACGTTTTCTTCATACCGTAATTGTAATACTAGCAAAACATTCGGTAATACTAAAGAATTCCCGAATAAATTTACAACAGCACAAAAACCTTAAGAAGTCCCAAGGCGAATTTTGAACTAAGCCGTTGTTGAGTGTATAGTACTGACAACTTCTTCATGCCTTTCCCTAACGCTCACAAAAATAATTGCCACTCATATCTTGGAGTACTGAAGAAAGTCCTTGGAATGCGTGCGGTGGAGGCCGAGGCCGTTGCCGCTTCGCTTGTCCTCGGGCCGGCCCTCGCCTTGGCTCTTGCTCCTCCTCGCTTGACTGGACGGCCGGCCTGCGCGCGCGCGGTCTCCTTCACCGATCATTGGACTGGTAGATCAGCTCTGATCCAGCCGCGCCTCGCCGGCCAGGCCGGCCTGCGTGCGTGGCGATTGAGACGTTAACCGCCCCGCCCTGCCCCTCCCCCCGCCACGCCCCGCCACGCCCCGTTGCCACGGGGCAGAGAGGCCTGGCCGAACGCACCTCGACGTCGACTCACTCGCCTCACAGAACACCTGCCGACAGCCCAGTCCAGCACCCTCTCTTCATATCTCTCTCTCTTCCTCTCTCTCCCTCGCATTGATCCGCACGCGCGCTGCCCGGCCCGGCCCCTCCCACCGGTGCATAGCGCGGCCCCCTCAGGCTATGGATACTGCTATTTTGTTGTTAGTGGCGTAATAGGTAGCCTTCTTCCTATAGGGTGCGCGTCAAGGATGTGTGTGTGTGTGTGTGTGTGTGTGTGTGTGTGTGTGATGCCGTGACTATGAATAATCGTAGCCTTTGTGTTTTGTGCCCCGCTGGGGTCCTCCACCGGCCCCCCGAGGGTCCCGTTCGTCTGACAAGGTGCCGCCGGTTTGTTCCAGATAGTAACGCAAGGTAGTGAACAACAAGGCAGACGGTGTGTGTGTGTAGTTGTGTGTAGGTGTGTGCGTGCGTGTGTTTGTGTGTGTGTTGTCCTTGTCGCACCTTGCAGCCCGGGCTCCGGCAACGTACGTACGACGGGGGCCTGCGGCACAGGTGCGACTAGCATCTCGGTTTGATTACCGTTGGGGTTTGGTTTGGGGCGGGCGCGCGGGCGGATCCCGGGTCCCGGGGCCGGCGGGATAGCTGGCCAGCCCGAGCTGGCAGCCTGGGCTGGCTGCTGCCCGTGTTGGTTTGGGACCCACCTGCACCTGACTTCATTCATTTTCACGACCCGGCCATGCCTTGCCCCGCAATATATATTGAGGGCGGCGAAAATAAGGGTGCTGGCTGCGACTCTGTCGTCTGTCGTCCGCGGCGCCGGTCACTCTCCCCTTCTCTCCTTCTTGTTGTTTCTATTTGTCTAATCGTTTTCTTTCCGTTTTGTTAGTTTCCTAACTCTGCCCTTGAACACATCAGGGAATCGATGGCCGATGTCGTCGTCGCGGGGCGGGGCGCCGGATGTCGCCCGCCCCGCCCCGCAGCCTGGACTCTGGACAATCAGCCCGCACCGGCCCACCTGCATCACATAACTCAGGTGGCTCGCCCCACCCGCCCGCCGTCCTCCTGCCGCCCCACCGTCTCATTTCCTAGTCCCTTTTCTAGACTTTGTCCACAGTTTGGTGGCCTCCTCCTCGCCGTGGAGCCAATACCGAAATTGATTAGTATGTATGAACTTTTAGACTTCTGTCCGAAATAAGTTATAATCAGTTATAATTAGTTATGAACATTGACCTGATTCTTCTCTGAATTAACTTCGTAAGTATGTTTCCGATGTTAGTTGGATTTTTTTTAATATTTTCATATTCTTATTAAAGATTGCGAAAAATTGTATTATTTACTACTTGTTGAAAATAATTTTTTCTGTGTTGTTTGGTTATATTTTACCTTATGCTTAGGCATGAATGTCCATGTGAAGAAGGTTGCACCTGCAATGTGCTGTACGGGATCCTAAGTCTCGAACCATTCGACACTTTTGAACGAAATTCTGCGACTTATTGGACCTGTAGTCCATATCAATCGCCTGGTTGTGTTTGTTATATTTTTATTTGCATTAGTAAATGTCACGAGTAGTCGATGATTCAGCCATGTCCTGAGTTGTTTTGGGTCTTATGTCTATCAGATGGGCTCTCCGAAGCAGGCGACCATGTCTTGGTAGAGCATGACGGGCATGGTGACGAGACCATAGAGGGTGATGAGGGGTGCGATGATGAGGCCGAACACGGGGATAGCCAAAGTGATTGTGAAGAATCCGGCCACGGCCTGCAGTCCCGCAACAATGTCTGTGCCGAGACGAGCGGCGCATTTCATGAACTTCGAGTCTTGCTCAACGAGCCCAAACGTTTCGCGCTCCGACACTGCTGTGGCCTGCAATTTCAGAACAACATGCGTAAAGGTGGTGTGCGACAAGTGCTTGATTCCGCTACCTAACTGTCAAAAGTTTCCGTGACGTCAAGAAAAATAAAATGTTATGAAATGTTCCGTAAGACAAAATTTACAAAATGCTGTCAGTTATCTTTTTTTTCGCGTAAAGTTAGCAGTAAATTTCGTAAAGATCAATTTTGGAAAACATTTCGGATTGTCAAGGTAGAATACACTTGGAAAAATTAAATACGATTCGTGTCGTTTCATAACGAGCATGATACCAAAGGGTTAAGATCCTCTTTATATAATTTGACTGGAGATCTGGTTATCTGTTTAAAATGAGTACTTAGAAGCAAGAGGAAATCTCGCCTATTGTAATTTCGGCAACTTCCTCTACAAATTCAAAAAATTCTTGTTACGGTACTCTAGAAAACTCGAAAGTCGTACAGTATCACAGTTTAGACTGCTTCAATCCTTCGAAGAAATTTCTTCGCAATCATGTAGGATTTTCGTCGCATTCCGAAGAAAACCACCGTTCGCAATTGTTTCACAATTATTACAAAGCAGCGACAATCGTTCGGAAGGTTTTTTTTTCACGCTGTGGTATTTACAACGCCAGTACCGCTCCGAGGCTCCTTAAAATAAGACACTTGTATCCTACCTGTGCCAATGCAATGCATCCCAACGCTAGAACAACACACAGCAGGGACTTCATGGTGAACTGGTGAACGCGTAGTGAACTGCTGCACTGTGTTCTGTGGACGAGCGCTGTCAGAGTGATGGTTTTATATCGTTCCCAGTGCAATAGGTCTGGCCTCCGTCTGTTCCAAGTTCAAGTACCACAAACGCTGTGATTGTGTAATCAGCACTGATGGACTATAACTTTTGCCCACAAAGGAGGACCAGGTGCGGAAGACTTCTAAGTAAATGATGACGTGTATTTACTTTCTCCTGATGTGTCACTACAGATTCTACAGAACAATAACGTATTGAATGGAGTGCACCGCCTACAATTAGAACTTAAAACTACGTGTAAATTTGCGCAGGAAACTACTTTTGTGCCATTATAACGTATCAAGAAATTCTGCAGGATTACTAAAGTTTTTTGTAGCATTACTAAACGTGGTCTACTATTTCAAATTAACTTGCAAAAGTTGGTCATACAGCACGTGTTTCAAAACATGTTTTATGTGTAAATACTTTCTCGTAAATACAAATATTGCAAAATATTATGTGTATCAAATTATTCACATATTTGTATACGACACTGCCATGATATATCTTCGCAGGCCTGCAGACATGAGTACGAAAATTGACGCAAACACTACCTAACGCTTTAAACATTTTTTTTGTTCCAGGCGTTTTCCGAAGGAGAGGCATTCCCCATGAAGACGCCGAATCAGGTAGAGACCGAATGCGAACGCGTGTCGGACTAAGACGACTCGTGGCATATGAATAAAATAAAACAAGAAGCGGAAAAAAAAAAAAAAACAAATAAAAGGATAAGGAGAAAGGTTGTGTGTTTGTATTGCCAAGGAATTTAATCTCAAAAGCGGGACGGGAATGTGCCGTACAGCGAGCAGTTTTGGGCACCGTGCTTCGCGGTGGGTGCTTGCTTGGCGTGCTGTCACGCCACGGCAACAGTTCGCCATTGTGGCACTGTGAGAAATATCCTCGTAAATCTACAACATTTGTTGTAAATTTTATTTCCAAATATGTTGTTAATTTGCGACAGCCTACTCTTTCATCAATTCCAAGTCGACACAAAGTGCTTGTAAATTTACAATTTCAAATTGTAATTTTACAACACACACGTGGATTTTTTTCCATATAAAATTACGACTATTATTCACTGTGTGCAGGTACTTGGCGCGTTGTAGTTAAACTGCATCTAATCTAAATCTAAAAGCATAATTCATTGCGCTCGAAAAAGTGCATGTTATTCTCGTTTGCCACATTGTGCATTAAGTTGCTATTTCTTTAAGAGACAGGTTCTTTAAGTTGTTGCCAAAGAGTATTAATGTCGCTGCGTTTAGTGTTCCATCCGTCCGTCCTGTTCATACGATGTATCCGCTAGCCACATACGGCAGAAAGATACGCCACCGACCGGTCACCTCCGCTATGTAGAGCAGACACGGTGTCTTCTTCGTATTCTGCATGTGCGACCGCTCTGTCGCGCCCCTCCTCCGTCACTCACCCCAGAGAGAGAGAGAGAGAGAGAGAGAGAGAGAGAGAGAGAGAGAGAGAGAGAGAGAGAGGATGGAGAATGGCGTCCTGTCCGCCGGCCCGCGGGGAGAGAACACGACGGTGGAGGCCCCTCCCCGTCCTCCTCCTCCTCCTCGGCTTGCATGATGACGAAAGAGGACGACACAACGACTGCTGTTGTTGTTGCTGTTTGAGGGCCCCCCTCTGTCACTCTCACTTGTCTTTCGCCGGCTGAAGGAGAGAGACGGGTCGAGGACGGTGTGCGAAAGAGAGAGGGATGTCGAGAAGAGAGGCGTCTTGGCCGCGTCGAGGTGTGAAGAGATGGAGCCGTGTTTTCATGTTGATTACTCTTTCGGTTCGCGAGAAAAGGAATGGGGGCGCCGCCGGAGGGGTCCACTCAGTAGATGGGTCCCGGCCGATGCCGATCGGGTATGAGAAACCTCCCGCCCGGCAGAGTGCAAAGCGCGCGGTGCTGCCAACCGATGCCGGCGCGGCTGCCAAACGACAAAGCCTGCTGCCCGTCCGCCCCGGTTTTTGTGCGTCGTTCGGTTGGCTGCCCTGCCTGCTCCCGCCAGCGGGGTGGTCTTCCCTCCCTTGTGCGACCGCCGCAGCCAACCACGCCACGCTACGCTAGCCACCCACACGTTAAGATAAAACCGCTACTTAAGATTAAGAGCGCGGGGCAGTGTCACTCTCTGGTTGGCCAGACTGGTCCCCGCCACGCCCTGTTTCGCGCGCGGATCGCCTCGGCGATAACGTCCCTGTGGGATTCCAGTCCAGTCTCTTGGGCGCTGTGGCGGCTGGCGGCGGCGCTGTGCGCAGGGGGACCAACGGGTACCAACCGGCACCCAACGGGCACCAACAACAACGGCTCCGGGTGCGGGGGCATTGTGTTATTGTTGCGGTGGCCCAAGTGGCGGAGCGTGGCGGAGCGTGGCGGACGCAAGTCGTTCGTATATCTTACCGTGTCGCCGGAACGGCGGAGTGCCCGGGCGCGCATTGGAAGAAAGAAGGTGGAGGAAGAGGAGTTGGGGGAAGGGGAGGGGAAGGCCAGCGGAGGAGGAGCGAAAAGAGGGGGGATTTAGAGATAAATCGGACCAGTATACCCCTCTCGACGAGTACCTCCGAATCGTTGCACTAGCGATGCTACAATGCCAACCCCTAGGAAAAATGGCAAACGCTTTGGTTACGGTAGAGCTAGGAAGCACTCGTAGGGTCTCCGATGCCTGCCCCCATACAAACCTCACACTGTGGTAGTTCGTCTTGCAGCCAAACGCGCCGTCTCGCTAGCGAGTTTGGTATGAGAAATTCTCCCTCTCACCCTGCGCTCTTCCTAGCGTCGTCTCCTCTGTCTCGCTCGCACTCGCGGGAACAAGCGGCGGCGCGGCGCGCGTGACAGAGCGATGGTTATGTGTTTGTTAGAGTGTGGATTTCAGAAATATGTCCGAGCGGGACTCTGCGGCGCTATCGCCCGAGCCCTGCCGCCGCTGCAGCTGCAGCAGCGGCAGCAGCGATTGGAAGGAAACCAGTTCCTCCGGTTGACATTTTTAATGCGCCGTGACTGATACTGAGCGGGCCGCTCGGCCGACGCGGCCCTCGCGCGGTATCGCCGGTAATGCCTCACGGGGGGGCCACTGCGCGCAGAGTTGCCAGATCCTAGTGGGCGTTTTTACCTCGAAGGACAGCGAAATTTCTCTTTTTGGCCTTTTTTGACCTATTTTTTCCCTTTTGACCCCTTTTCTCTACTACCCTACCCAAAATGAGTACTTTTGGAACTCAAAAATTTCCTTCTAAATTTTTTCCCTTTGGCCACAGTGCGAAAAACGAGTTGTTTCGCCCCTCAGAATATAAACTAAAGAGAGTAAGAGATGGAAGTAAGCGTTCCCCTCCAAGCGCCGTGTTGAGACAACGCGAACTCTTCGAAATGCAGCAGTTTCTCATACCAGTTCTAGTATTGCCCGCCTCCCGCCCCCTCCCTGCGTCTGTCTGCTTTGAGACAACTCGTGTATCTGAATCTAATTCTTACTTGATCCGAACCAGGGTCTGATTGAAACTGGACCTGAAAAACCTAGAGAAGAGAACGCCGTTGCAGATCATGAGAGTAAACCGTAAAGGTTATGGCGGGGTATGTAAAGCGGAAGTGAAAACAAAAACTATTTCCACTGTGCGGGTATGAAAATGTTTCATGGTGGTTTCCCCATGTCCTAACCTCTTAGACAGAGAACGGGCATGGAAACTGATCTGACAGGTTCTCATACTATGTAGCCCGTGGAGGCACGTGATCAGATCGACCATTAGCAGCGGAAAAGGAAACAGCAACAGCAATGAATTTGGGCCTTTTTGTGCTGGAAATCTACAAAGAGGGGCAATTTCTCATACCCGGTTTTGGAAGAACGGTTTGTTTTTCGCATTCTCGAGCAAGAGCACCACCGTAGCGCTGCGGCCCCTCTCGCACGCCTTCCTCTTGGTGCAGGATGGCGACGGTGACGGCGAGGAGGCGGCGTGCTGGAGGGATGGGGATCCTCTTCAACTGTCACCAAACGCCACGGCGAGCAGCCGCAGCCGCAGCCGCCGCGCGCCGTATGACGTGACAGACGTCGTCGCCACCGCAGCTCAGTCGAATTTATGCCCCCTCCCCCGCGCGCTCTCCCCCGGCTCTCTCCCTCCTCCTCATCTCTCTGTCTCTCCCCCCGCCCTGCCAGGCTCTCCCGCACAACTCGACTCGCTGCTTCGTGCGCCTGATTCCGAATCCTGACCGTGTGGTTATTACTTATTTCGCTCTCGGTGCTTGCCAGACCTGTCCTGCCGCCGTGACACCTCTCCTCCTCCTCTCTCCCCGTCTCTCTCCCTCCCGCAGAGCCCTCTCGCCGCCTCCATCCTTGTCTCGCCCCCCAGCAGACTCCCCGCCTCTCTCCAGCCTCACCCCTTCCCCTCCTGGCGCGCGTGGCGTGGCGTGGCGTGGCGCGGCGCGGCGCGGCGCGTCGGGACGCTGGCCGAGCCGAGCCGCCGCCAGTTGTCGGCCGGCTGCGGTGTCGAGGGGTTGTGTTGTGCGCGCGCGCGTTGCCCGTCCTCCCCGTCTCTCTCTCCGCCGCGTCCGCTCCGGCGCGATCTCCAGCCCGCGCGAACAGCATCACGCTCAACAGTGCCGCCCGCGAGAGTCAGTGTGTGTGTCTGTGTGTGTGTGTGTGTGTGCCGCTGTGTCCAAGCGGGAGCGTGTGACGAGGCAGGCATCCTGCCATAAAAAAATCAAAAAGAATAAAGAAGCCATAAAAATAATCATCCTAATTTTGTGGTTGGTGCCAGTGGTGTGTGTGTGATATGCTGGATGCGCTATGTGGCCGCCGGTAACCTGGTCGGATACCGAGGATACGCTTCGCCCTCTCCCCCCGGATACGTTGGATACCTTCATCGCACTGCTTAGCTCCTCAGCCGACAGTTTAAAGCGGAAGCAGGTAAGGTCGACTCACTGTTCAGAGATCCTGCCGGCCGAATCCGGATCCAGGCCCGAGCACATCGAGCCGAAAGTGGCATGAGTCCATTTGATGGGCAGGTTGTCCGTATAAAGCATTAGCCAGTAAAGCTGAAATGGAGAAGAATGGGAGGAAGAAGAAAATGCAAATAGCTA